GCCACAGGCTTGGGGCCTCAGCGGCCCAGCACTGCCCGAAGGAGGGGTCCCCAAGCCCCGAGGAGGGGCCCCAGGAGACCCACTGGTGTGCGGTTTATACGCTCAGGACAGCTCCTGCCCCTGCTCAAAGATGCCTGCAAGAACTGGGAGAGTGATGGCAGGTTGTGTTGGCAATGGCCGGCCAAGTGCAGGGGTTGTGCTTCTACTCGTTTGAGTCAACTTCTGTTTTCATAGGAAATCTGTTCAGGCATGCCTCACATGGGAGGTGCAGCTCTCCTTAAGCCACGTTACTTCACTTCTGGTCTTGTAGGGTAAAGATCGGTAGTTTAAATTTGATGTCTCCAAGGACACGCCAGAACTTAAAGGAGAAAGTAATGGTGATTCAGTAGGTGAGCATCTGATGAGTGATTTGGAAGCAATGTGGTCTCTGCTGCGTAATCCCCAATTCTCTTGGATGTGGGGACAAAAATTGCTTCTAGACTCCATGCTTTTGACTTCTGTTTTTGAGAAGGTTGAGAGCAGTACTATTAGTGTTTGGAGCTGAAAATAGAGCGGGAAGAAGTAGTAGCAAAATTTCAAAGGGCTTTTATTCCAGCTTAGTGCCAAACCCTCTGTAGCATCTACAGGGTCATGTACAGAAGTTAGTCTGAATGAGCTGTAAAAGAAAAGCACTTGGTTGAAAATGCGCATGTTGCTGCTTGCTGGTTTTGCTTGTCTAAATTAAGCTGTGATTTTTCTCCAGGCGTATCTGATTAAAGCATGTCTGCTATGTAGACAAACATATAATGACAAAGCTACTTCAGGGAGGTGTAGAGGCTTATCAGATAGGAGCAGAGAATGATAACCTGGCAGCTTTTTTTTTTTTTTACAGTGGCCTGACAGCTGGCAGTAGTGGCTTTCCGTGTAGCTTTCAGTATTTATTTATAAAGTTGGACATAATTGATTTTTTTTTTTTCATTGGATCCAGCATCGTAACGCTTCATTCAGAATCTGACTTGCCCTTTGAGTCTTCCCCGCAATGTTGAAGAGAGCCCCTAAGGTATTCAGTGAACAAATTAAGGAGTGTCTTTTACTACAGTGGCTTGAGCTGGCCTTTGCCATAGCCAGTTCTACGCTGTTTATAGCTTTTATAATGAAAAAATCTTACTTTCACAGGACCGCAAATGGATCCTGGCTGCTCACTCCTTTGCTTACTGGTGTCTACTCTTGGTAGTCCAGTGCTGTTTACAGATGCCTCTGTGTTGGGTGCGGGGTGTGAAAAGCAGCCTGCTGAGCAGCTGCTGTTCTTGGGTCTTTGAGGCTTGAGAGAGACTCTAGGCACCTGGTCCGCTGGAAAGGAAAGTATGTGGAATGGTGGGATGGTGCCTGGGGGAAGCACAGCAGTTTGGTGTGACAGAGCAGCAGTGACATGAAGAACTATCAGCTTATGCTCAGCTGTTTGCTTTGCAGGAGAGCTTGCAGATCCAGCTGAGGTGAAGGACCAGTTGCGTGTTTAGTTGCATACATATCTACAAGATGCAAACTGTAAAGAGCTTATCGTTGGGGTGGGGAGGAGAAGACAGTCGCATTGAGTGTGACTCTAACTCGGGAAGCTGTTAAATGGTGGAGCTATGAGCAGAATTAAGGTACTCAGATTCCTGTTCCAGGGTCAGTTCACAAGACCAGGAGTTTTCTAGCTGGTACGTGAGGCTTTTTTGAGCAGCTGACTGCCTCCTTCAACATGCACGCCCCCTCCGGTGTTTGGGTTCCTCGGCACCAGGCCAATCCTGTCATCTGGCATCTGTCAGATTCCTGAGAGTGCAGCAGAGTACAAAGCTGTGGGCCCAGCTACCTCTGCTGATCAAAGGAAACGAGCTGGCTGGTGGGTGTATTTTGAAGAACGTTTGTTACTCCACTAGTTTCTGAACTCTTTCGTGTTTGCCCATGTAGAAGTCTGGTACAGGAACCAGGGGGCATCAAAGAACCTGGCTGGAGCCAGGTACAAAATGGACAAATGGTGTCATCTTCATGCAACAGGGAGTAGACCAGTGGAACTCCTTGCCAAAGGTTGTTGTGGATGCAAGAAGGTTAATTAGTTTCAAGGGAAGACTGAGCAGAAACGTGGAAAAGCAATTCACTGCTGGTTTCTAAATAACAAAACACTGTACGTTTAGGAAGAGCCAAAACTGGCTGGAGGTTGGGACACTACTCGTGGAAACCGCGTGGCTTGTCTTACTCTTGCCTCCGTGTTCCAATTATAGTTGCTGCTTATCACTTTTCAGACTTAAGAGTTAGACAAATGTTTTCAAGATACCTACCTTGGTGTGAATGATGTGGTGTTTCAGAGCGTGGATGCTGCGTGGTGGTCACAGTCTTCATCTCAGCATTCTCTGTGTAAGATAGCACCTGGGACGTGCTCCCTGGGACACCTTCAGTATTGTAAGTGAGACCAGAAAAAAGCTTTACAGCACACACACACACCCCCAGTAAGCCAGGCTTAGCAGCGCTCTGAATGTTTCCTTGAGGTGATATTTCACATTGCTCTTTCCAAGCCCTTTATCCCATTTGTGTTTTTCTGACATGAAAAATGTCTACTTGGACTAGGGAAAGGAAGAATAATGAAGCTGCTGTTTTAACTGTGCCAGCATGGCTGATGCAAGGCTCTGCTATGCACACCCCTCACTGACATAGCGAGACTTGGAAACGTAAATCAAGGCCTAATTTATTGGCAAAAATACACTTTATATCTGTTACCCCACTGTAATCAGTCGAGTGACAGGGGAACAATGTGCAGCTGATCAGAACCAGGAGTGTTTGTCTTCTGTAAAAGTTACAGTTGTCTGATAAACTGTTCTGCTTTAGAGCTCTGGGTTGGTGTACCTGCAGCTATCAGGGTTTCAGTGGGTATACTTCCCCGGGATCCTGTGAAGTCACTGAAGCCGTGTCTAATTGTTGCCTTTTCTGGCCTTTGGTCACAGATTATTTGCACAGGATTGCTGAATTCCACTGGAGCATTACCTTGGAGTGTTTGCGTAATCTCGAAGAAGCCTCACTGTTAAAAGATTGTCGAATTTTGCTTCAGGATTCCTGCAAACTAGGTACAGCAGGTCAGACATTAGCTGGCCAACTCAAAATCGGTACGTTGTTTGAAGCATAGAGCAGTTTAAACTCCCAATTTACTTGATGTTACTGCTGTGTAATGGGAGCAACAGTTAAGACATTTATCACATACAAAAGTCTACTGAATTCTAAGAACGTGAAGAAAACGCAGGAGATGTGCAAAGACGGCAGCCGGAATTTCACAGATGTTTCTGAGCGACTGCAATCTCTTGTGCTTCAGAAAGCCTCTAAGTGCCTGAAATGAAATGTGATTATTTGAAATCTGAGATAGCCTTATGGCGGTAGGATAATTTTCTCCCAAATCATGGTAACTGGACCACTGGAATACATATTATTACTCCTGGTTGCAGTAGTCTGGGAAAACAAGTGTAGACTGTGGCTAGAGCAAAAAGGGCTCAGGTAGGTGTGAACGATGAGTGAGGAAGCGGAGGAAGGCAGAGGTACCTCCCTGACAGGCTCTCTGAGGTCTGGTACTGCTCGTACTTACGCCCTCACTACACTGGTATTAAAATCTGTGGCTTTTAACTTGTGTGCAATCCGTAATAGACTTATTTCCACAAGCGTTCTTCTGATAGAGGCATGTGGCTTATCTCCATTTTTACACATGGCTAGAAGAGTTTGGAGACATGTGTTTCTTCAGTGTGCCCTTCTGTCTGTTATCTGACTCCACAAGACACAGCAGCCACCACAGCTTTGTGTCTTGGCGTGCGCTGCTGCTTCCGATACCCATGGTAAGTGTGACTTGAAATCTGTTTGAACCATTTTCCAAGCGGAATGAGCCCGGGTTGTGACAACTCTAACCCAAATTGGTCAGTCAGTTTCGAATACAATGTTCTTCAAAGTGTTTCAAAAGAAGGAAATACTCTACTACTGATGGCTTCTCTAAAATTATATGGTTCTAACAGAAGTTACGCTCTTTCCAGGCAAGTCGATAGCTAAGGTAGGGTCTGTGCTTGGAAGAGCTGCTCGTTAAGAATGTTACCACCGAGATGAAAGAGGAGGGGAGTGTCAGGTGGTTGCTTACACCAAAGAAGCAGTGAGTTTTCAGATTCCTACCTCCTTACTGCACCAGCTGTAAGAAACCAGTATTGCATACCCTTGGTCTTTCTGCATTTAACTGCTGCGTACTCTGGCATATCTGAAACCAGAACTCTGTGAGGGAGGAATATCAGAGATCTGATTTTGCTCATGCTGGCTTGCTCCAGCTTTGCAGAGGTGTTTTTGGGGAAACCTGTTCCGTGTCTTAAGACAAGCTTTGAAGGATGCGTGGTTGACAAACACCATTTGTCTGGGTGGCTGCTTGTCCTTGTTTCCTGGCCTCTATGGTACTGGCGCATTATTATTGCACAGTAATAAACCTTTCCTGGCTTATTTCTCTAATATGGGGGGCTAGGAGTGAAAGCTTTTGCATCCCCCCTCAACCTGATGATCTTGCATCTTGCCTGATCCAGCAATCTAATTAGTCATAGAGCTTAGTGTTGCTTCTGAGCTCATTTGTAGTTACAGTGGGTCTGTAATGGTAGTTGCCAGCTGAGTGTATGCAGACAGGCTCTTGGAGCTTACGAAAAGGCAACTCCAGGCTCTTGCCTTCTGCAGTCAGTTTCCATGTTGCGCGCTCAGAAGCCTTTGCTGCGTGCCTACGGTTCTGACTTGCTGCTGATTTTTGCTTGCTCCATATCCCTTCTGAAGGCTACCCAGATAGAGCATCTTCTGAGCTCTCATGGATAAATACAACCTTGCTGGCTGAACACAGAAGATGAGCTGTGTTCAGAACACAGAATGTGAGCTGCTAATTAGGCATTGAGTCATCAAGGGCAAACTTTCTTTGCTTGCTACCTTAGAGCGTCGGTGACATTTAAAGTGAGCTCGGAGTGAATATGGGGTTGTACAACTCCCTGCTTCTGCTGTTCTTCTCTGGACCCAGTTTGGAGAACTCAGTTCAAAGATCATGCTGAAATGATGCTTGTGAGAGCACCTGCTGTAGCCGTGAGTACTGCGGGGCGTGAGGAAGTCTTGGGTTTCCCCCCCCAGAATCTCCTGACTGTGGCAAGAGCCCGCTGGTCTCCCTTCTCCAGGGACACTGGAGGGTGCCTTAGACTGGTGGTGGCTCTTGTCCTTTCACTTCCAAATGTCAGGGTTCTCCCTGTAAAACTGTTTTCTCTGCTCAGCGGCGTTGGTCATATCCTCCCACAACCAGTTTTGAAAGACTATTAACATTGCTCTCAATGTGTACTTTATTTATTGTGTATGCTGAAGGCTCCAGTGACAAGGAGGTTCCAGTTCTGTTACTGTTGTTGAGGAAAACTTCTGAGGACTGGCACTTGGCCACCTCTCTTGTTCTTGTTTGCTTTTGTCTGTTTCTTTTCAAACATTTTTCAGCCATTGTTTCCTCTGGAAGTACATTTATTTTTTTTTTTAAACAGTTTGCAACACTTCCAGTTTTCGTGTTTTCCTGCAGGAGCTGTAGCTTTGAGAAGTTTTGTGGCAGAGTAAATGATTTCCTGTATAAATAGTCTGGTTTTGCGTTCGCTCGGGTGCGACAAGGTAGGAATTGTCTGGCTGCAGTTGTGGTCGTCTAGACTAGGGAGTCCTTTCAGAAATATGATATGCCAAAATGTTTTGAAGTTTTTTCTTTTGGATTGGTGGTTGCAATGAAGGACAGATGTGCATGAATAAACAATTCTTTTTCTTAGTCGTGGATTTAGCAAGTGCATAGAAAGGCTTCAAACCCAAAGATGGTTAAGAGGAGTAAACGTTACCGTTCATGTTTCTTGTATATGCAAAGACTGGATGCCACTGACAGCCAATATCCACTGCACGTTCCCCGCTACTGCAGGTTTTTGTCTGCCCTTTTAGGGTGGATGATTAGGGAAGCAAGGTTATCCTCTTAAAATTCAGTTCTGATATTTTTCCATCTGAAAAGAGATTTGTGCCGAGACATCCCTAAGTTCTTCTAGAAGGCTTAAAGCAAATGGCCAGCTTTTCATCCCCCAATTTCTGTGGGTCTCTTCAAGCATACTTATAAAATAGCTGAAAATTGGACAGTCGTTCAGAGTAATATGCATAAATATACAGCATCCTACCACGGCAGCCACGTCCAAGAGGGTGATCTAAGGGGTGCAGAAATGATCTAAAGGGTGGTCTCGCTGCAGCCTGTGTTCCCGTTAACTCCCTTGCATGAACAGAGACATGCATCCAGCTCTGCAGTGAGCTCGTTCACAGCTACCCCAGCAGATAATCACTTCCTTTTCTTTTTTTTTGTAGGGTGGGTTTTCTGCTAGGGCAGTCCCTGATCTGCCTGCCGCTGAGATCAAGTGAGCATGAGGGCTAGTGGGGGAGAAACGGCAGCAAGACCTGCAGCCAGGCACGGAGGGAACAAGCAGAGCGGAGCCTCGCTTGGTTTTACAGCTAAGGCAATCTAATAACTGACTGCTAACCAAACTCTGTCCTAGGACTGCAGACTTTGCCCTTCATGGCTGCTGAGAAAGCTCCACGTTGATTTTGTTACATACCTGGACAATAAAGGGATTTATTCAGAATAAAGGGCTCTGATATGAGGATTGCAGAATTGGCTGCAGCAACTCACTGGAGTAAACAACTGGACTGTTTTTGTGTCCGTACCGAGTATGTCTGGTATGAGGTGCGATAGCCAAGCGCGACTATTTAGGCTTTTGGCAGCAAAAACAGACAATCTGAAGGAAGAGGGGCAATGACAACTGCTCTGTGTTGTGGGAAGGAAAAGGATATTGCAGAGAAAAATGGGTTAATCCTTTGCTCTGAAATTTAGTCCAACATCTCTTCTCCAGTTCCAGGCTCGTAGCTGTGGGAGACATTCCAGGTAGCAGTGAACAAGTCTCATCTTCTCAACCAGCGCATTTAGCGTGCGTTGCCTGGCATTCTGGAAAACTGGGTTAGTCCCTGTGTCTGCACACAGAAGCCTGACCACTTTATTGGTTTAACTGGATTAGCTGATAGTTTAAACTGAACTATTTGTTCACACTCGCACTGTAAAGAGATTGTACTTTGCTGGCTTTGTGGTTAGCGCTTTCCATTGCCAGTCTGTTCCTGGAATTATGGTATTGACAGTGCTACAGAAGAGCCCAGCCCGTCAAGGAAAACAGAATTGCACCAGGGTTTTTTGTCAGTTCAGACCGCTTGGTCTGACAGTTGTCCGTGACCGTCTGCCACCAACAGAAACGCCAGGGTCGTTGTGGAGCGTCCTGTGGATTTGGTACTTTTGTTGTGGTAACTTCTGAGTCTCTGAAATCAGTATATGATGTCAAACAGTATAATTTTTTAGGACACTTTTTTATTTTTTTTTTTCCTCTTCCCTGGTCGTTGAGTGGTTGTGTGATTGAGGTTAGTGTAGCTGCAACAATACTGGAGTCATAGCTTCTTATGCCACTAGAAAACATGATGCATTTCTCCCCTGTTCTCCATTCCTCATTGCACGGCTATGTGCAGAGAGAGGCTGTCAGCCAAATATTACTATTTTTTTGTAGTGTCTGAAGTAGAATATCCTTTCCTCCACTGGTGTCGGTAAAGGCAGTGTTGTCTTGTGCTTCACCTGCAGTTGAGTTGCCCTAGGAATGTTCTTGAGAAAATCATGCAGGAGAGGCTCCTCTGCAAGCAGGGGAGTCTGATTTATGCAGCAAAGCCTGTGAAAAGCTACATGAGGCTATCCTTCCCTTTGTATTACTATCTTGCCCAAATCTGTTACAGAATCGCAGAAGGGATAGCTTGGCTGTGGGGGACAACACTGTGTTTCCCTGTGTATCATGGGGATTTGTTTCTTTGGAAGGTTGTTTTTTTATGCAAGGTATTTTCTAGGCTATGCAGCACACATGGTTCTCTGTGAATTCCTGAAGGAGAGGTTGGACAACTGAATCTTTGGAAGATTTTATTCATTATGTTGGTTTGAGACATCTGTGATGAACGGAAGAGGTTGGAAGGAAGGCTGCTGACTCTCCTGGTACCTTTTTTGCATCTAGCCCTTTGCTCACCTGAAGTCTTCTCTTCCAGCATCCAGGTGGAGAAGAGGTTTTGCTCGAACAAGCTGGTAGAGATGCCACAGAGAGCTTTGAAGATGTGGGGCATTCCACAGATGCCAGGGAGATGCTCAAGCAGTACTACATAGGGGAGATCCATCCGGTAAGGACCAGCTGGCTGCAACAGCCTCTTTCAAACACAGGATGGGACTGTGTAAAAGTGTGACTGTCCTTTGTGTAACCCACTAAACACATACACCAGGATGTGTCTTGCAAAATAGGTAGTTAAAGCTTTTAGGCAGTCTCTGTTGTCCAGGATTTCTGTTGAGGAAAGAGGATGTCTGTTGAGGAAACAAAACTAAATTGGTCTTCTCTTTCCACCACTCAGAACAGATTTCTCACTGCAGTTAAATCAGTGGCACTCAAAGAAGCTAATCTAATCGGTCCCCTCCTTTGCTGGTGGTACCATAACTTCCCCTCTCCTTGTGATTTAGAGTTCAGGAGGGTGAGAGATCACAGGGGCACAGCACAAACACCGACTTCCTCCCTGCTACAAAGACGGGGCCTTTGGGTGCTGAAGGACCAACTCCTTTGAAAACCGAGTCCAGGCAATTACCCCTGTGATGAGAACTGTACAGAACAATTCCCTCAAAGGCTGCAGGTTTCTTTTGAAGTCAGTGCTTATCTTTTTTTCTTATTTTTCTTTTTTTTTTTTCCCTCTTGACAGCATGATCGTAAAAAAGAAGGTTCTAAGGTAAGCTATTAGCATTTTACTTTTCCATTTTAATTAATGCTGTGGAAATGATATTATGCTCACAAAATGAACACAGAGGTTGTCGTTCGCCTTTTTTTTTTTTTTTCCCCCTGTGGACCTTGTGGCTTTATGTTTACACAAACTACAGTAATGAATAAATCCTCCAAGCAAATTATACCTTGTTTTTGTTCTGAAGCTCAGCAGTCACCTTAGTGTGAAATTGGAAGTGGTTTTTTGTGCCCCCTCTCCCTGACATCAGCAATGTTATTTCCACACCTTGAGCCTTTTTGCATTGCTCACTATGTCCTGACCACTGAACTGTTAGTGTTGTTACACTCAAGCCAGGAGACGGGCACAGCCACCGTGGGGTTGGCTGTAAAACAAGAATTCTCTGTTAACTGCCCCGGTAATCATTGGTGTTGCTTAAAACCCAGGTACTCCTGGGTTAGAACAGGGCACAGTGTTGCAAAAATGCCTTTGAAATGGATGGGGAGAGGGAAAGGGTAATAAATAGAATCCCATCTGAGAGGTAAACACACGCCTTGCAGCTGGCTTCTCTTCTCGCTTGGCTTGAAGGCTTGGACCAGGCACAGCTCTGCCTTCAACAACGCTTTCATTAGATGTTGTTCAAAGCGGGGCCACTCGCAGAGTAGCAGGAATCAAGGAGGAAACTGTCAACAGAGAGGGCGGCGACCAAAGCCTTTGGGAGCGTTTGCGTCCGGTAGTCAGCCATAGAAAGAATTAACTCAGGCTGGGTAAAGCCTACGCTTGGTTGTAACACAGGACTGCAGGATTATGTATATATTCACCTTAAAATTTATTGTTTGGTTCAACTCCGTTTCATAAACAGAATCACACACCTAAGACGTGCGTGGAAGTAAGCAGTAATCTGAGTAGCTTCCTTGGATATGAGTTACGTTTTTGTTTTTTTTTTCAAATATTTTTCTCTTCTGAGGAGAAAGTCCAGTGAGTTACGTACAGCTGAGGTCTTTCTCCAGTGTACAACATCTGTTTCAAAAGCAGGCCCGAGTATAACTTAAAAAGAGCAGCAAGAGAGAGAAGTCAAAAATGTAAAAATAAATAGGGGTGAACCACAAAAAAAAAAAAGTTGTACACGTATACTCTTGTGACGCAGCTTGGAGGTAGCTCCCCACAGAGAGGTGTCAATGTTTAGCAGCCACTGAACATATTATGGCAGAAAAGCAAGCACTACGACTCTCAGGAAATGGAGATAATTCTGCTTAGGATGGGCAGAGAAGGTGACTTTCGGCTGGTAGGTATTGATGAAAAACTGGAGAGCAGCAACAGCCATCGAGGAGGAGGCTGTAGAGCTGATGAAAGCCTAAGAAAAAGTATTTAAATTCTCAGAGTTTTACGAAAGGAGGAGTATAAACGTTTGGAAGCAGATTGCGTGCAAGGGAAGAGTTACAGAGAACATTGTGGTTGTACGCTTTGGTGGTCAGGCAGCAGGGTAGCACATGGGGACCCGGGCAGGGGTTTGGAGAAGGCATCGCAGTGTATCCGTATCAGGGTGCCGGCTACCGCCCATAGCAGGCAAGCCGAACAGCCTGGTTTGCGAGGTAATGAGCAAGACCTGTTTTTGAGAAGGGTGCAAGTTCCAGTGCGAAGTTGAGGACTGGGCAGGAGGGATTGGACTGATGGAAAGAATGTGGAGGTGAGGATGAGGGCAAACATCCCCAGGAACATCCGCACTTGTGACAGAGGGTGTTTGGGAGAAGAGGGGAGGGTTATTTTTCCTCTGTATCTGTAATCACATGTTCAGTCTTGTAGTCTTATTAGTACATGTTTAATGTTTCTTTTTTTCCCCTGCTAACTCCCTCTCTTCTCCTTCAGGACCCAAGTATGACATCCTCAGGCCAAGCAAGGTATAGTATCCTCTTAAAATTAGAGTAAGGAGTTGAGGGGTTAGGAGTCTCTATAGAACTGCGTATTAACTGTTAATGGGCAGGAAAAAAAAAAACCCTGGGGATATTACTGCAGTGTCCGTAGAACTGCGTATTAACTCTTAATGGGCAGGGAAAAAAAAACCCTGGGGATATTACTGCAGTGTCCTTCCAGCAAGCAGAGAGTCCAAAATCAGTTGCCAAACTGCAGCGGAGCGAGTGAGCGGCCAGGGTGTGCACCTCTCGGGTTGGATGTGGAGACACACGAAGTCCCTGGCTCCACGCCGGGCAGAACGGGCATCCTGGTGTTTTGCAGTTTGAATCCTCTGGCCCACGTGCTCACGTTGCACGGCTGGGGCTGCAGTCCCTTTGCACTACGGGGATTATTTGGGTGGTTGCTGTGGGCCACAGGGTGATGCAGCACCAGTCATGTGCATTTTTTTGGAGGATCTTTACCATGACCAGCCCCGTTCAGTTGAAAAATCACTGAGTGCTCACAGCCAGAACAGGGCCTTGGTCTTTTGTAGCTGATGCAGAACTTTTTGGCTGAAGAGGCTGCTGAAGGTGAGCCTGTGGCCTCTGCTTTATGAGCAAGGAAGATTTATTGTGGGATAGCTGTAGCAATTTCCATCCTTGAGTCAACTCAGCTGTTTGTATAGCACAAATTACAGTCTGACTTATTTAAGGAAAAAAGAAAAAAAGCAACCCAACAACAAAAACCCCAAATTGGTTTCTGTATGTGCCAGGCTGGAAACTTCAGCGCTTCAGCTGCTATTTTATAAGCCACCAAGCCACCCTTGCAGGCGTAGGGGCCTCTCGCAGGGGCTGGGCAGAGCTCTGAGCACGGGGACTGCTGGAGCTGCCCAGCCCCGTGAGCCGAGGCTCGGCGGTTGGTCTGTGAGCTGATGGGAGACGGGTCCCGAGAGTTCCCTGGATGAAAACAGATGTGTAATAAGTGATTAACATCTTGAATGAATTATTAACCTGATTCTTTCTTCTGGTTTGTGTTGTCTGTGTTTGGTTTTGTTTTGTTTTTTCTCCCCATAGTTTCTGGACAACATGGCTAATCCCCATCTTCGGAGCACTGGTCTTAGGTTTAATGTATCGCTATTACATGTTGGATGGGAGAACCTCTTGAACTGACCTTGCTGGGACCTCAGAAAGCCCGAAGGAGAGGGCGCGAGAGAGAGTGCATGCACGTGACACATGGAGTTCTGCTTCCCTTAAACTCTTTCTGCCTTGCTTTTAGCTTTGAGTCTGTCGAGTGATGTTGATACCCATGGGACCAAGCTAATGGCAAACTCTGTCTCTCCTAACTCTGGGACCCACGGACCTGTTGTGCTTTCCTCTTGCCGTGGCAGGGCAAGTGCAACTCCCCGGTATTCTCTTAGGTTTGTGTGCGGTCTCCCTCACATGTGCGTGCTCGTGCGCTTGCTCTCTCGCTCTCTCTTGCTCTCTGAAGTGAACCACAGACCACCTTTTTCTTTCAATGCCTTTTTGTTAAGCCAGACAACGTGGAACAGCTGCTAGTGAGCCTGTGGGTTTGCCTCAGTCCTTCCCGTAGCATTGTCAGAAATAAACTGCAAGTTGTCTACAGTCCTTTCCAGAAAAGACGTCCGGAGCTTCGGTTCCGCGGTAACTTTCCCAGTGCATGCAGGCAACACTAATGGGAGCAGCAGGAAATTGTTAGCGTTTGCTACCTCTTTCTGTACGTGTCTGTTTTTAACGGTTAAACAAATACAAGTATTTTAAAAGCGATTCTGTTCATTTTGTAATATTGGTACTTGTCCCTTTGAAATGTATATTCTGTGAAACAATTTATACCGTGAATCCTGGTGTGTTTGGGTGCTTTTGTGCTGCGTGCGACAGTGCCAGAAATGGGAACTGACATGTGGCTTCTCAAAATGCGGGTTTTTCTTTCTCCCCGAGCTCTCGATCCAACACGTGTGTTGGAAACAAAACTTGTTCTTACTGTGAATGTGTACCAGATGGGGGGGGGACCAAATAAATCCAGTCTCTTCTCCCTAAATGAAAAGGGAAAAGAAATCCATTTTGGATTTGTGCATCCTGCTGGTTTTGTCTTGGAACAGAGGAGGGTATTTCTGTCTTCCTCTGTTTTTGTGTATCGCGTCATCAGCCTCCAGCAGCGCAGAGGCAACGCACGGTGTGCGTCATGCGTTGAGGCACGAATCTTGCCGGCTCTTCCAGCATGTTGGTCCGTGGCTTTGGGATCTGCTAAACAAAGGGAGCTCGTGTTCTGGTGTCCGATACCCTTCAGCGGTGCTTGGGCCCAGTCTGGCTTCTCGAAGGGAAGGTTACAAAACGGTAGAGTGGAGGTGCTTGCACCTGGAATAGAAACGTTATCAAAGGGCTTTGTGGTCTAGAGGACGGTGGTCTGAAAAAAGGCCAGAGCAGTTCGAAGGGGGAATGGGCGCTTTCTCACGCGTTTACCACCAAGTCGTTAGCAACGAGAACAGTTCCCTGAGGTTGGTAGTGGCTTCTCTAGCAACAGAAGGCTTTAAAGCTTAAAGAAGGGATGTGTTGGCTGACGTGCCACCGTATGGGTCAGGTGAGTTCAGGGAAGCGCGGGGCCCTCTACGGAACTCGGCTGGTTCCATTCCAGGAGCCTCGGGTTAGCCTGAGGAAAGGGGCTATGTCAGTGCCCGGCGTGACAGTGGGAATGCCTCTGTTTTCTCCACAGGCATTGCTTTTTCCTGGCACTCTCGACGTTCAGTTGCATTTTGGTGTCTCTAGATATCTTTTTGCCGTCACCAGATCTTGTCCCGCTGCTGTTTACCCATTGCTATTTGCCGTTGGGAAAACTGCCTGTTAATTCCCGTTCGTTACGGAGCCTTTCTGTTATGGCTGCTGTTTCCTTCTGACCGGTTCCCTGCCCGTCGGGGGCCGCCAGTCGTGTTCCAGGGCTTCCGAGAGCTGCGACGAGCCTTCTCCAACGCCTCGTGGAAACCCAAGCAGCCTGTGCCAGACGGCTGCCCCTTCTCTGCCTGCCTGCCGGCTCCCTCAAAGATCTCGAGGTGCGTTTGCAGAACCACATCAAAGTCTTCCCACTTCTCCATGAATGACAGACTTAGCACAGCGCCCCCAGCACAGGTATTGGTTTCACTGGTCTGTCGTCCTGCGGATCCTTCCCGTGGTTCGCTCCGTGCTGGCGCTGGGGCTGGTTGGAAGGGCGACAGGGACGCGATGGGGTGAGCCCGCTGCTCTCCCGGCGCTGAGCTCCCCTGCCCATGGCTTCCTCTGGCGAGGGGCTGGGGGCCAGCCCACCCCTTCTCATTCCTTTCTTCTCTTCTGGGGTGCTGAACACTGGCTCCCACAGGTGTGAAGCCCCTCAGTAGAAAGGAGGCGTTACCAAAGCTTGTTTCCCCAGTTCATTTGAGGATCAAAAAAGGCAATTCCAAATCTTTGTCCTTACACTGAACTTCTCGCACGGCGAATGGCTGTTGCCAGGTCCCCCGTGCGATGCAGGCGCGCTGTCTCAGCTTTCACCTGGCGAAAAAACGCTCTTGGTGAAATTAGAGCTGGGTGCGCGCGCTTTGCTGTTTTCAGGTGCTCTGGGAGAGGAGCTGAGCGAAGAACTGTGAACACGAGCACGGAGGCAGCTTCCACGGTTAACGTGACCGTGGTGGGGCCGCCCTGGGAACGCCGGGAGAACTGTGCTGGTCTCTTCGGCCTCTCCACGAACCCAAATTCCTTGGCAAAGCGGGATGTAACTGTTAATTGGGCTGATGGTTTGTGGAGGATGGGTAGGAGGTCTGAGCGCGGTCCCAGTTTTGCTGAAATGGGCTGATAAAGGGAAGGAACAGCGAGGGAATGAGATGCAGAGAGAGCTCTCTGTGCCCCCAAGGTCGGACCTGGGGGCCTCGGCTGCTGCCCCGGGGGGGGAGGTGGCCAGGGGGTGGCTGGGCAGGGCTCCCAGCCCATGGAGCGCTGTTCCTGGTACCTGGAGAGCATCCGCCCAGCGAGACGTGCTGGGTTGTGCGTTTGCCCTGTTCAATAAAGGCGTACGGCAAGCGCGTGCCCGGCCCTCTCCTGCAAGAGGTGCAGAACGGTTCGTTAGTGCGTCCCTGGGCAAGGGCGCTGCTCGACTGCCGGCTTGGGTGGCCGCCTCTTCTATGGGGCTTGAATATCCAGTGCCTGGTTTATTTTACAAACCTGACGAGCTCCCACCGCCTGCGTTTGAGGCACAGGATCTCCACTGCACCTCAGTGGGAATTCTAAAGGGGCAGGAGGAGCTGGGGCGGGGGGGGGCGTTTCAGCAGCTGCTCGCTGTTTCCCGGAACAACCCCCCCTGCTCTGCCAATGTCTATGGGGGGAAAACCGGCACTGACAGCGCTGCGGCCGGGAAAGGTACCCGGAGCGGGAACTTGGATCCTGGGAAAGGACAATGGGTAGATGCGGCGCAGCGGGAGCAGGGAAAATTTGGTCGTGGCAATTGTTTAAAACTGATTATTAGCTAAAGCTGAGGAAATTCTGAGCTATGGCAGCCACGGGGTTTGTCTTCCCATCAGCAGAGGAAGAATCTTTTAGACGGCGCCAGTTAAAGCTGAGCCTGTGCCCGGGACGATGGGCAGCACCGCAGCCAGGCACGGTAATGGTTGTTCTTGCAGCGTGTGGGGAACGCAGCAGCTCGTGGATACGCCCTGTGCAGGCGATGCAGCTCAGTTTTGGGGGGTGGATGGGGTTTTCTGCAGAATTCAGTCTGTGGTGACCTCCGTGTGGATCGTTATTAAGCCCGCGGTTATCAAGCGTTGTGCAATCGTTCCCCTTCTGTTCTATGCCTGCTTTTTTGCAGTGAAGATCCCTGTGGCCAGCTGATGTTTGTACATTGCCAAGCGCTGTCTTGCTTTTCCAGTTCCAAGGACGTCTGCTCTTGCTCCAGCGGCTGTTGATTCTGTGCAGTCTTTCACGCTGCAATTATAAGGGGACTTTTAGTAATCGCAGCAGGGGAGCTGAGAGGGCTCCCTTTGTAATCCCGGTCAGTTCTGGTTACCTCTTGGGAAGAGCCACGAGCAAGCGGCAAGGAAACCACGGGTGCAAGTTTTGCCAGAGGAGCAGCCGTAAAGCGTGCGACGGTGACGTTGGTGCCGTCCCTGCCTGCTGCGTGAGCTCTGCGGGCAGAGCATCGCCCTGTGCCACCAAAGCTCGCTTACGCTCCGTCAGGCACGGGAGCAGGGAGGCTTCACCGCAAGAAGAGCTGGTAGGAGGGTTGTTCTCAATGGAAAGATGAGATGGCGACCGCGAAATACATCTCTTATTTATGTGTCCTCTTGAAAAAGACTGTGACATCCCACTCCCGCAGCTGTCGGCGGAATCTGGCTCCTAAACATTTGCCAAATTCCGGCTCTCATGGTAGTTGCAGCAGCCTCGGGGAAGGGGCGCCCGGTCAGACCATCCTGGGAGGGAGCAAGAGAGCAGCAAGGCAGGTAACCAGCGGCCGCTGCCTTGATAAAAGGGCAAGGAGGAGCCTATGGGAACCGCCAGGTTTGGTCCTGGCCTTTAGGTGGAATCACGTAGGGAAAAAAGGCCACGAACTGAGTTGGAAGTGGAGGTTTTGGTGGGGGGGGGAGCACTTTGTAACTGGTGCAGGATAATGCACGAAACCCACTGTGCATCGTCCCTCGCGAGGGTCCTGGGTGTTGACAGTGGGCTGTGGCCACAGGACGTCCTCGGTGTGCTTGTAGGAAAGGAAAAACCAATTCGCAATACGAAGGAAAGTTGTGAATTATTTTCTTGGCAAGCGCTGTTCCACTGTAAGCTTTATTTATCTTCGATCAAGAGGAATTGGATCCAAAATCCACAGAAATGAAGAGAAGACTTCTGAACTACATCTAAATCCACTTCCTAGTACTGCGGGGTCAATGCTGAGCACAGTCTTGCTTCTCCAAACATCGAGGAGAATTTGCAGGGTGTCCAAGACAGAGATGGTAAAAAATGAGGGGAGACCAAATGCTCCGGCGCCTCTCGTTCGCCCCACATCTCAGCCTTGGCTCTGTATCCAGTTGTAGATTGCCCTGGGCTGGTGTGGGGAACGCTGAGATAGTTCAGAGAGGAGGAACGTCGCCCCAGCGCCTGCGATGAAGGAGGAGGTGACACAACGATCATCGGGTGTTGGTCTGCCCGCACCGTCCCCTCTCGACTTCTAACGAAGCGAGCTAGCCACCTTTTAATTGCTCCCAACCAGTAACCCTCCAAGGAGTGGTGTATTTCTTTTCCTCTCCACAGGCTATTTTTACATTTAAGAGTACTTTTTGATACTTCCTCGAAAGAAGCATGAGCTGCAGAAGGAGGTGCTTTAAAAAGCCCCAAAGGCCGTGCTTGGTCCGTCTCCATCCTCCCAACCCCGTCCCCAGCAGCTGCTGCAGCGCCGTGCCGTCTTCACGTCCCAGTCGCCCCATTCTCGTCGTATTCATGGGCAGCATCTCACCTCCCTTCTCTCTTGATTCGAAGCATATTTAGCATAAATACCATCCTGTGCCGGCCTCCAAGCCGTACCCAGCGCTCCGGAGAGGAAACCCGTCCGCAGGAGTGGCTTTGTTTCCAGCTGAAATGGGGCACTGGGGAAGGGAGAAAGAGGAGGGAAAACGCGAGTGCAATTTGTGATCTCGGAGGGGGACAGCACCACCGTTGCGTTAAATGCTGCCCAGAACACCGCTCCTTTTCCAGGAACGCTTCATGCCGGTGCTTGGGAGCGAGT